GTGAAAATAATGCGGGCTCATGGCTTTGATGTAGGGGCCTTGACACATAGAACAGGGTTTGGGGTACATGATGTCTGAACTCTATAGGAAGAATGAACAATGCTACTATTTATTCAGACCCCTATAGTCTCTTTCGAAATGAATTCTGGATTCCAGCGAACACAGCGGACAATTCTACTCAAACCTTTGCCCCCAACTCCCCAAACTTAAACCGGCAAACCTGCACAAACCCTGCCGTCTTGTAAGTCCGCTTTCAAAAGCACAGTAGTCCACGATAGGGCTTGCGAAATTCGGGGTTCAGGGGTTAGTATGAAACATATGCGATTAAGGGCTTTAGGGCTCAAGGGTTCAGGGTTTGGGGCCGGCTTCGCAAGATCAGAAGCAAGACCTGATGAAGGAAGTTTTGCATAACTCCAGGCAATCTAGACACTCGAAACCGTACAAGCCCTTTCAAAGAGCAAGACGACCTTGTAAAACCCCGTGAGACTGAAACAACTGAAGCGCTACGCAGACTCGTAGAAAATAGTGATGCCTGAATCATGAGACGAGGGTTTTGTGGAGTTCTTATACCCTAAGCCCTAAACATCTGGATATTCCATCCTCTATACTGGGTGAGACTCCTCAAACTGTGCAGATTCTTGTGCAACCTTTTTCCATGTAGGGCTTAGGGCTTAAAGTTTTGGGGCCTTAGGAACTTAGGGGTTAGGGTTTAGGGCTTTGGGGGTTTAGTGGTTGGTGGTCAGGTTTTAGGGTTCAGGCTTGTTTCAAAAAGCCAAGAAATGAAGTGCACCGGCCGAGTCCTGCTGGGGGTTGTTAAGCTTGTCCCGGGCAAAGCAGATCTTCCAGGTGCGGTAGAGCCTTCCGAGAAGACTGTCTGGTGCTTAGTAGGGAATGGGGGGAATGGGATATAGGGACTACTATAAGGGACCTTAAGGGACTATCATAGGGATCCATTCCCCCATTCCCTACTAAGCACCACACAGAAGAGTTTGGGATTCAGGGTTTTGGGCCCTAGGCTGGTGTGCAGGTTCTCCGGGCTTGAGATTCGGGGCTTCGGGTTTGTCTTCGTCGCATCTTTTGCCTCCCAGATCCCAAAACCCCAAACCCTGAATCTCCAAGGCTTCCATCGCGCACCAGAGCCCCCAGAAGCACTCAACCCTAGAATGGACTCCCTAAGCCAACCCTGGGACTCCCTAAACCCGACTAAACCCTAAATTAGGGCTTAGGGTTTAGGGTTTCTACATCCGAGAACCCCGAAACCCTCCGACCCCGCGCCAGATCACAACGAGGAGGCAGCAGCCGAAGATCCAGAGGAACACCTCCGGGTTCAAAGTTTATAGCATTTCGGGCTTATAGAAGTTGTACAAGGCTAGGGTCCGGAGTTGGAGCGTTGAACGGGTTTTGTACTGGTTTTGATGTTTGCTACTGATTGTTGTTTTGCAAGCGCTGGGCTGGACTGGGCTAAGGTTTTCAGGCGGCTGCCCCCCTACACCTCTGGCCTGGCTGGGTGCGTTGGGTTGGCTGGGACGGGTTGAATTCTTGTCGTGCTGGTATTCTGCTTTCGGCTGGCCAAAACAAAAAGTTTCAGGCTTGGGAAATAGGAAGAGGCCCTGGGATTGGGCTCAAACACTGAAACTGAGAAAAGAAAAACACAAGCCCAAAATGCAAGATGCTAGATATTGAAGGATGCAGATTTACTCCTTTCAGCAAGTTGAGCTCCTTCTTGAGGTTGGTTTACGTATAGGGCTTAGGACATCCTGGATAGAACGAAATAAATGCAACCCCCACTTGGTAGCACTGGGAACAAGAGCAGTAAAATAACTATATAACAACCAGGTCGGTAGTTCTAAACCCTAAACCCTGAACCCTAAACCCTAAACCCTAAACCCTAAACCCTAAACCCTAAACCCTGAACCCTAAACCCCAAAACCGTGAACCCTGAACACGAAAATTCGGTGGTGCCTGCACGTAGCCTGGAAGGAGCCGGTGGCAGAAGCCAGGGAATTCGGGATCCTCGCGAGGGTGTCCCTTAAATCCCGTAAACCCTGAACCCTAAACCCCTGAACCCTAAACCCTAAACCCCTGAACCCTAAACCCTGAACCCTAAGCCCTAAACCCTGAACCCTGGACCCTGAACCCTAAACCCCTGAACCCTAAACCCCTGAACCCTAAACCCTAAACCCTAAACCCTCTGCAGTGGAATCTTGCAGACCTGGCTCAGCCCCCGCAGTGGCATGCGAAGCTTCCTTGGTTCGGACGACAT